CCCAGACCTCCTTTCCTATCATTTTTCACTTAGGACAACGGTGTGTAACAACTTATTTCTGACAGCTCTGGGTAACTTGAAAGGTTCTAGATATCAGGCAGTTGCCTATTAGAAGCTCCAGCATCTGTCCTGCAGATTTAATGTGACCCAGTCTATAAAGATTGTCCAGTGATTGCCATTTCTCCCAGCTGGACACAGAGGCATGGTCTGGTGCCCACCTCAGGCTTAGACCCTGGTTCTATAGGTGTCTGTCACATTAGCACAGAATGCAAATGTACTTGGCAATGTCCTTTCCCAGCCACTTACATGCGCTGGCTGGAAGACTGACTCTGCATGAAGAGAGACATCCACCTTTGCAGGTAAAACAAGGCCTGCAGAAGGACAGGTCCCTCAGCACACTATGATATGTTGGATGTGATATATCTGTCAGCAGAAGACCTCTGAAGTGGAGCAGGTACAGGAAGTGGCAGAGCAAAAGGGATCCCGTAGCATGGAGGATGCATGAACACAGGAGATCCAGCTTGGGCACGAGGGCAGTGAAAAGCAGGAGCCTTCTGCATCACTCATTGTGCAAGATTTGACAGGCCTGATTTAGGAAGAATTATGTAAAACATGTATAATAACCTAAAGGGGCAATAAACCACTCCTGATGCTTTGTTGGAGATTTTGGGTGGTTATTTTCCTCTTTGCAGCAAACACTATAAAAGCAAACACCAAATGTTCTGGAGTCAACAGCTTGTCATGGAAATAACAACAGTGTTCATCACTCCCTAGGACTGTGTGTGAATCAGGGGTGTCAAAGGATTCACACCTAATACATACAGAACTGGAGGGGAGGGGGATGTATCCCACAGCACCAGATCAAACAGCACCACAAGAAACTGTGGTTCCTCCTTAAACATCCAAAGCACAAGTGTTGGTTGGATCAGGAAGGCAAAGTGAAAGGGCCTGTGCTGCTGCTCTACAGGCATTTTATTCACTGTTTCCAGACCACATGGGGTCATCTTTACTGTGAGGGTGCTGAGGCGCTGGCACAGGGTGCCCAGAGAAGCTGTGGCTGCCCCATCCCTGGCAGTGTTCAAGGGCAGGTTGGACACAGGGGCTTGGAGCAACCTGCTCTAGTGGAAGGTGTCCCTGCCCGGGGCAGGGGTTGGCACTGGGTGAGCTTTAAGGTCCCTTCCAACACAAACCAGGCTGGGATTCTATGATTCTACCTTCATACTTCCCTACCCCAGGTGCAGCTGCCTTCCCTTGGTGAAGGAAATGGTTTCCTTGGAGGAAAGTCAGACCTCCTCATTGAACAAAATGCACTTTGAGATACCTGTATAAGAACCAAGGGTCTGTTAAGGCAACGGGAAGAGCCAGATTTTTCTCTTACTCGTGTGCATTAGGAGTAGCTTCATGTAAGTGCCACTGAGGTAAGCAAGAGCAGAAACAGATGTGGAGCACAGCTACAAACAGGATGTGAAAATAAGCTCATTACTCCATCTGCCCACCGTAAACAGCGTGAAATTAGCAGCAAGCGAGGAATAAAAATCCAGACAAATAGCCTTTTAAAGAGAGCAGAGGGAGCTGGAAGGTCTGCTATTAGGAAAGCAGAGGCATTGAAAGCCATGACCACACATAACCCTGATCCCCTGCTCAGCCAAAGGGTAAAAGGTGGAGGAAAATCCCTCAGCAGAGTCCAAAAGGTGCTATGTTTGAAGACAAAACCAGAAAGGCCACTCCACCTTTAGGAGAGAAGACCTGATTTTGCTTCTGTCCCTGCCTGTTAGGAAGCACCATCTATTTTATAAGTCACAGAGATTTATTATCTTTTTCCCCCTAAGAGGCACTCTCTTAATGTTGCATAAAATTACTCTCTCAGGGGTAGTGTGCAGAGGAAAACGTGGTGTTATGTTTGTCTCAGTTGCAAAGACATCGCCAGCAATAAAAGCCCTTGAATGATCTGGTTTTTAAGTGACATGATTATGGAACGGGTCATTCGTGACGCTCCAAGTTGCTTCAAACACCTCTGGCATTAAGTCTGAATGGGGGTGGTTTATGCTTTGGCTTGGGCTATAAGTATTCACCCCTGGTCTTTGTTCTATGGGGCAAGTCTCAGCTTGAGGATACATTTACTTAGAATTTCACAGGGAAATTTCTCAAATGGTCAACCTGGTTTATTTATTCAAAGTGGGATCCCAAAGTGGTTTACAGCTTTTACAGGCTGGCTGTGTTTATAACCATCCTGGGGAGTATCTTCCACAATTCATGTAGCAGAGAGGAGAAAGGAGGGTCATCATTTCTATTTTAACCTACTTTTCAAGCAGCTGACATGACAGTGGCAAAGTTATCTCTTCTAGAATAAAACATGCCATGCGTTATCCTTGTCCAGAGGAGATCCTTTGGAGAAAGACAGGGTAAAATAAGTCAAGGACTTTGTTTTCCTTATGGCTTCTGCTCAGATATGGAACATTCAGTGGTGTCTGAAAGCAGAGGCTGTGAGCAGCTCCGGCTTATTTTATGGATCTCAGTGAAATTGCAGAGACCAAATGATATTTCAAGGAAACTGGTTCCTTGTGTTCAGAGTTCTTCAAGATATGACAGCCCAAGGCAGAGTTTGTTACATGTTGGAAATAATTTTTCTCTCCACATTTGGCAGATCCAAACAAGCCTTGAGTGCTAAATAAACCAGGTCTATGAATAAATCAGGGGTAGAAGAACTCAAATTGGAGGTGATGTGAGATTGAAATAACTGAAAGCTCGATGTTGGCCACAAGGCACTTTGAAATAGTCTGGAGTTTGATGAAGGGTTTTGCATTTGAGATGCCATTGGGATATTTCAGGAGGAAACCTCCTGGTGGGTTCACCCAAAGTTTGTAATAAACGTAATTGAAATATCTGAACTCCAGCTGCTGCCTTCTACTCTAATCAAGAGCAATAGAAGCAGCTTCCTCTTAGCAAACACCCTGCGACTGCCGAGGGAAGGGGAACGGATATACTGGGCTCAACACCTTCCAACTGGGAGGGCAGCAGAGGCAGGCACAGAAATTGAGGACAGGAGAGGCTGCAGGTAGAAGGAGGAAAAAGGGACTTTATGGAGAGATCAACAGAGTCTCAGAGAGAGGGGAGATCTCATGAACCCCTAGAGATGGAAATCAAGGCCCCTGGTTTTCTAGTGTTGTCTGAGTTGGGTCTCACCAGGAACAGACACTGGAAGGGCTCAAAAACCAGAAGGTGCCCCCACCTCATCTACCCCATGAAGGGTGAAGTATCCTTACCTTTCTGGTTCCTATCCAAAGGGAGGCCAAGTTAAGTTAGAGACAAGGCGTTCCTTTGGGAAGTATTTGAAAAGTCCCCCTTCAAGGTCATGACAGCAGTTTCTTTTTTATAGTACAGCAGGATCTGAAATTACATTCTAGGCGCAGGGACTGATTCTCCCCTTCCATAATCAGGTTTCTCTCTTCATCACTCCCCCAAGCCATGGTGCAGTCATGCCCAACCTATGTCAACATGGTCCAGAGCATCACACCAACTAGGAGTGTGATTTGCCTTGTCCTGGCCCCCATCTCCTCTGGGTGCCACCATGCTCTGCTGAGTACAGCTGAGCCCCTGGCACTGCCATTGCTAGGTGAAACAATACAACCATGAGCCTTGGAGTGAGAACATCCCCTGGAGTCAGTCTGGATGTGGCCAGCCTGCTTTAGAGAGGAAGAGCATTTAATAGCATGGAATTGGTCTGCTCCGGGCCACTGGGGCACAGCACCATTGAAAATTTATTAGTGTATGAGTAGCAATAATGTCTTCCTCCCATGCTTCCAACTCTCCTCTCAGTATGGGGAACAGAGCACTTTGTGTTCTTACAATAAACTCTGAGGAGAATTTAGACAAGCTTGGAAAAAGCCAAGACAAAACAGTGGGAGTCCTGGGGAGGTGGTGACAGTGGACAAGGGCCACATCCTGGGACACGTGTCAGCTTAATCCATGTCAGAACACCCCACACAGTGCCATCCATAGCTGCAGAGGGTGTAGGCAGAGATAAACTGTGTGCACAAAGCAAGAAAGAGCAAACACCAGGAACAGGTCAAGTTCCAGGCTGACCCTGTCCAGGGCCGCTCTCAAAACAGGAAGAACCTGGTCTCCAGGAGAGAGGTGGTCTCTCCTGGACCCTCAGCTGGATGCCACATGGATCTCATTGCTGTTAGTGGCCCAGCAATATGGGGTTGGGTTGAGCTGGTGAGTCTCAGTTTGTGTCTTGGTTCCTTAACCTCCCTCCAATTTCCTTTCACGCACTCCTGTTCCTCTGCGATGATGCTGAGCAGTTCTGCACCAGTGCTCTCCATCACATGGGCAACCCACGAGAAAGAGTGGCAAGACCAGGCATTTAAAACCCCCAGGTTACCTGCTGGATCTGCCCACTTAAAGGTTGCAGAAGCAAGGTCATTGCTTATAGAGTGAATGGTGATGAGAGGGGTGTGAAGTTCTGGTGTCCACAACATAAGATGGACATGGAGCTGTTGGAGCAAGTCCAGAGGAGGCCAGAGGATGATCAGGGGCTGGAGCACCTCCTGTATGGAGACAGGCTGAGAAAGCTGGGGCTGCTCAGCCTGGAGAAGAGAGAGACTCTTCATAAGGGACTGTAGAGATAGGGCAAGGGGTGATGGGTTTAAACTTGAACAAGTGAAGTTCAGGTTAGATATAAGGCAGAAGCTCTTCCCTGGGAGGGTGCTGAGGCGCTGGCACAGGGTGCCCAGAGAAGCTGTGGCTGCCCCATCCCTGGCAGTGTTCAAGGGCAGGTTGGACACAGGGGCTTGGAGCAACCTGCTCTAGTGGAAGGTGTCCCTGCTTGTGGCAGGGGTTGGAACTGGAGGAGCTTAAGTTCCTTTCCACTCCAGACCAGTCTGGGATTCTAAGATGGACATCCCAGCCTGGTCCAACTCATGGGAGACACAATTCATTTGCCACTTGAGGTTGCTCCATCACCCTCACACCACTTCTCTGGTTTTCTTGCAGAAGGCATGGCGGAAGCTGTCAGCTCGAGCAGGGACTGCCTTCAAGCAGGCGAGTCCTGTACCAACGACCCCATCTGCAGTGCCAAATTCAGGACCCTCCGGCAATGCATTGCAGGCAATGGAGCCAACAAGCTGGGCCCCGACGCCAAGAACCAGTGCCGGAGCACCGTGACGGCCCTGCTCTCCAGCCAGCTCTATGGCTGCAAGTGTAAGAGAGGCATGAAAAAGGAGAAGCACTGCTTGAGTGTCTACTGGAGCATCCACCACACATTAATGGAAGGTCAGTCAAGCAGGGTGTTTATTTCTTGATGGTCTTCCTCAAAGGGAATTACTGCTGGGGCTTTCCACAGGCTGCAAAGAAGGTCATCCCTGCAGTATCCCATTCCTTCATATAACTACTGACCCCTGTGGTATAGATAGTTTGGGGAAAGCAATCTCTCCTTCCTTTGTTTTTTTAACCTGGCCTCTTTCTTACACTGTTCCCACTCTACCTTGAGATCTTTTGCTGCAGAAATACATGGATAAGCCAGCCAAGACGATGAAAGCCATGGATATACTACACAAAACATGGGCACTGAGCTAAAAAACAGCATGAGCTTAAAAATATCACTCTCTTGGAGGCTCTCAAATGCACCAGTGTCTTTGGGTTAGTGAAGATTTGGGGCTGGTGACATCAGTTGAAATTTAAATTGTTCTCAGAGCCAGTATTTAGTAAGTTTGGATTTTGACGTTTTTTAAGAGTCATCATAAAAGCACACCTCAGTGGCCATAACTCTTCCCTGTCAGGCTGGTATTTTATGCACCATGAAAATTAAAATGGGGAATAAACCAGAACCTTCCAGCTATGGGCTGAGATATAGATTAATAAAACACTGCTGGCTGAAGGGAACACTGAAGGGGAAGGTGCAGGGTGGTAACACAGGCCAAAAGGCCAAGCAAAACAAGGAGGATGGAGACTACACTGCACAGGCTTTGCCTGAATGGGAACTGCTTGATCAAGTTCCCAGAAAGCTGTTGAGTGCTACAGCTTGGAGGAAGTAGAACATGGGGCTATGAAGTGACTGGGGAAATAAGAAGTCTCAGCACCATCCAGGATCAACTAATTCCCATAATTATATGCCAGGTAGATTTGTTTGTGTTGAAGCAAACTTTTTTACAAGGGATAGGACAAGGGGGAATGGTTTTAGCATAAAAAAGGGTAGATTGAGATGAGCTCTTGGGCAGAAGCTCTTCCCTGTGAGGGTGCTGAGGCTCTGGCACAGGGTGCCCAGAGAAGCTGTGGCTGCCCCATCCCTGGCAGTGTTCAAGGGCAGGTTGGACACAGGGGCTTGGAGCAACCTGCTCTAGTGGAAGGTGTCCCTGCCCGTGGCAGGGGTTGGAGCTGGAGGAGCTTTAAGGTCCCTTCCAACACAAACCACTCTGGGATTCTATGATTCTATGAAGCAAAGCCTGGGGAAGAGGTGTCAATCCAGCCTCTACATTCACCGTAACAGGCTTCACCACAACTTGTTCCCCACTGATCCCTGTGGCCTGAAGCTTTGAACACAACATGGTTGTGCAGGACAGCCATGTCAGGAGGACTTCCAGCTCTGGGAAAAGCAGTGTGAGGATGGCAGGGAAGTGCTGGGAGCAGGCAGGGGCCAGCTGTGGGTCTGCAGTTGCAGAGTGGGAGATGGGTGCTGGATGGCCAGAATGGATGCGCTTCCTGCCCAGCAGCTTGGAACCTCCATCCAGGGAAGGACTGTGAGAGAGGGCTGTTATCAGAGACTGCCAAGACTCTGCCCTGCTTCTCCTCTGCTGTCATGTCCTGAACCCCACATCTTTTCAAGTACTGAGTTCACTTGCAATGCAAATTCACACTCCCAAACCTTTGATTCCCTTACCTTAATTTCCCCAGGGAAATATATTTCATAATAGTCCCATGTTTCAGAGTCCTTACACATGTTTAATTGACTGAGAAAGGAAGCCAATCCACATGCTCCGTGTAGAGCTTTGTCTCTCAGTCATCCATACCCAGGAGGCTGTAAAAAGCTTCCTAGAAGCCCTCTTAGAAAATCAATTGTGGAAGTGTGTGTTCAGGGAATTTGCAAAGCATACTATTTACACAGCTTCTCTTGAGTGCGCCTGTGTTTAGCCACCTTCCCATTTGGAGACACAATAACATGATGACAACCCGATAACAATTCTCTGATAAGGCGCTATATCATCAGGACATAAAACTGCTATGCTGGAACATACAAATGGGCCCCTTTCCAGTCAGTAACGATGCAAGATATTTCAATGAAGGTGTAAAGCTGCCTTGTAAATGCACCTGTAGTAATTGAACAGGGCTCTGTACCCTGGGAGCCATTTCTTCCTGACCGCAGCTGGTGATCAGCATATGCCTGGAGCATGAGGTTTGATAGTCCTTTTATCCCAGCGAGTACATCTGCTGCTGCTGTCCATATCCATCTAAATGTCTAATAAAGGAAAAAATGATACTGAGCTGTTTGCTTCAATAATACTCTGTGGTATCCATCAGGGTGACGGGGCATTACAGACCACTGAGTGCACGAAAGGGAAACACCAATTGTACAATATTAGCTTCCCAGCAACTTAAAATGAAGAGAGGAAGTTTCTGCGGGAGCTCTGGGTCATTAGCTCCATGTCAAGGAAGAAAGGGCTGCTGGCAAGGAGAAGGTGTAATAAATAGGAAGGCCTGTGTCGCCACACACACAAACCTGTCCAGGTGAGGACTGTTGACCCAGGGAGGGACAGATAGGAAATAGCAGGAAGGGTGATGGAAAACCCCATGTATGTAGGGAGCTGGTGGTTCGAAGCCTGCCCATAAGCCTGTGCTAAAGTCTGGTGTCCTCAGTGGCAAGCCCCATAAGGGGACCCAAGACTTGAGCTATAGAGGGCTGCAACCCAACAGTTCCCTGAAAAGCTTTCCAAAGCTCGGATGTACTTTTAAACACCAGTTATATTCTATTCCCTTCTCTAAGGATATGGCCAAGCATCAGTTTCTGTGACTGAGTATCCATTTCCTTATGGCCTTCAGAGCACACATCCCCTCGGACCCATCAAGCAAACCTGCACTGCAGCTGTTGAACCTTGTACATCTCAGACATCCCACAGGAGCCCCAGCTGCCTTCTCACCACCTTCTCTTTTCACCTCAGGCATGAACGTACTGGAGAGTTCCCCTTACGAGCCGTTCATCAGGGGCTTTGACTACGTCCGGCTGGCATCCATCACTGCAGGTAGGTGGTGGGAAGATGCTCTTACACTTACTGGTTCAAACTGGGGGGAGCTGGCTGTGGGATCAAATGCTGCAGACAGGGTGGTCCTTTGTGCTTTCTTGTGGTCTCTTCACAAAGCACTGCATGGTTCAGGTCTAGCAATCAATTTTCCAAGGAGCTGCTTATGATTTTCATCGTTTGGTTTTTCATGTCCATACTGTGAATGGCTGGGACTGAGGGACATGGTAGGAAGACCTTTTCCAATGAACCGCCATGGCCGGGCTGATTCTCCATAGGAGGTGGATGACCTGTGCCATGTAGACACCCTACTGGGGTATCATTAGGTATGAGAAGGTGATTCCACATCAGTCTCAGGATCAAACTCTGCAGGCAAAAGGTCAATAACCCAGCCTATGGGTTGATTCCAGCCACAGCCTTTAACCTCATGCCCTGAGGGCAACCTCAGGACTCAGACCCATGTTCTGTTCTGTGCCATGTAATCCACTTAATAACATGAGCAGAGCTGCCCGACACCTTTTAACCCCCTTGAGGGCACAAACCCCAGCTCAGCAGTTAAAAGGTCAGTGTGGCAGCTCTTAAGCCATCCATCACCACCATCACAGCTGCCACCACAGTCAGCGTTCAACTTTGCTTTTCAACCACAGCCTTAGGAAAGCTTTACCAGTGGTGATTTTTCTTACCAAAACAACCCATCTGGGCTCAGGTGATGTACTCCTCATGTGCCTCTGCTAAATGTACCAGAACATCAGCCCTGGTGCAGCTCCTCTCAAATGAGCACCGGACTCCAGGGTGGCATCCACAGATGGAGTGCACCCAAGTGAGTAAGGAACAGCAGGTCCCTGCAGCCAATGGATGTCTGCAGTCCCCACGATGGAGAGGCACTTGTTAGGTGAAAATGTCCAGGAGCAAATTAACCCATCAGCCCTCAACAATCTGAGCAGCGGGGGGAAAGGGAGTGCTCCCTGACCTTACGTCTTCTTATTGACTCCACTTGACTGATTCAAGCGTGGAAAGCGAAGCATGCACAAAGCTGTTTGCAGGGTCATGGCCTTCTTTGCTAGAGTTGTTCCCCTTTTGCTGAGAGTCCTATAGGGCTCTTCAGAGCACGGCAGAATCTATGGATGGGGATTTTTATGCATGGTTAACACATTGCCAGGTTTTTAAAGCAGACTGAAACCGGTTGGGCAATGAAGTGAATGGGCCCAGAGCAGCAGGGATATGCGCCAAAGGACTCAGCATCCATCTAGGGATGTGAAGTTTCTCAGTTTAACCCTTTTTACCCTTATTTATCCTCATCAACACCTTCAATAACATAATTTATGACCTGTTAACCAGATCATATAGTCAGCACTGTCAAAGATCCCTCTTTTAAACCTCCCAAATACAAAAATTCCCAAGAACTTATTGAAACATAAGACATTCCACGTGCCAAATCAGAGCAGCAGATATCCTGAACTAAATTTTACATAAACAATATATGACAATTGTTAAAACTGTGCAAATGGAATTCTATCTCTCTGCTCTAATTGTAGTGGTGATTTAAAAAAGCACATCCTGTTATTGCGTGGGAAGAGGAGAAAAACCAGTGTGTTCCTTGTGATTCATTAGCTGAGCGGGTAACGAAACCCTTCCAAATAACTATTTCCTACACGTTTGCTGACAGCTCCCCAGTGTAAACTTGTTCTTTCACAATATTCACCTCTGGGCATATTAAAGGGAAGGAGCTATGTGGTGGGAACACACCACGCAAAAGTTTCACCCATCCTAAAGTAACCTCAAAACTTGGGATTTGACTTCCAGCTCACTATAAGCAGCAGGAAGGGAAAAAAAGTGCTCAGATAAGAAGCATCTGATAAAGTCAGTGAAAATGAAGGAGGGCAGCCAGTTCTGAAGTGCTCAGAGAGACTGTCAATGTTTCAACACTTGTCAGCAGGGACTGGCTGGTTTTAACTCCCGGCCAAATACAAGGCTTGACTCTGCACTGGAAATTTGTCTTTCTTGGGGTTTTTCCTCTGTAAAAAGTCCTTCTGTGCTGGGGACAAAGTCCTTCTAGTGTGCTTCAGGTCATGGGCTTCATTCCGAGAGGTGACAAATGGCTTCAAATTCATTTCCTCTCTCATGCCTGGAGGACCTTCATCTTATCTGTCTGATCAGACAGAGCCTAATGTCTCAACCGAGCCCTACCAGGGACTTTGTAGCATTTCCCCCTTTATAAAACAGAGACCAACCCACTTTGAAAGACCCTTTGAAGAACCCCCAAAACCGGTGTTAGACAAATATCTTTCCCTCTTACCTCTTCCTGACGTTTCAGAGGAGGTTGTTGGCATATAAACTTGTGAGAGCCCTATTTGCCTACCGAAGACTGTGTGTTTCTCATCTGTCACTCTGGGTTTTGTGTTATTTTCTTGATTGTTCCCCCTGATGCAAGTTTTCCTCCACCCTCCCTGCATCTTGCTCTCCCACCCGGACTAACCCATAGCTTTCTTTGTCCTCTTGGTGGAGGATATTTCTTTGATGGAAATGCAGAGTGATCTTGTTGAAGCCAGTGATCCATCCAAAGGGAGAGACCCACATGCACTCACATGCAGGCAGCATCAAGGTCCCAGCGGCATCAGGTTGGGTGGTAGCTCTGATTCCCATCCCAAAAGGCACTGTTGCTGTTTAGGACATGGGAATACTCATCAGGAGTGGTCTGGATGGGGAAAACCACTGTTGTGGTGCTTTGAGACCCAGACAGCTCTCACTTAGCTGGGCAGGTCCTGGGGTTAACATAGCGCAGCTGCTGCCAAAGCCAGACTTGACCCTCCAGAGGCCTGAGGAAATTCATTGCACAGCATATGGGTGCAAGTCTAGGGTGAAAGGGTTAGCACTGACCACCCATGTATCACTGCCACTGACTCAGGGTTCTATCTTGAGCAACATTTTGGAGAAAGAAGGTCCATTAGAAAAGATCCCATCACACTGGTGAATCCAGTCATGGCCATAAGTAGATGCACTTTGTGATGACTGCTGTCTTCCCAGGTCTCAAGTTGGTTAATTCATGTTGGTAAAGTGTTATGAGGTGCCCAGGGTACAGCAAAGCTTCATTTTATTAAATTATAGAATCACAGAATGGGTTGGGATGGAAGGGACCTTAAAGTTTATCTAGTTCCACCCCCCTGCCAGGGGCAGGGACACCTTCCACTAGAGCAGGTTGCTCCAAGCCCCTGTGTCCAACCTGCCCTTGAACACTGCCAGGGATGGGGCATGTAAACGTAGGAGCGTGGTGGAGCAGCCTCTGGGGTGTAGGTTTGTTGTGTGGCCATGGCACCTCTTGGGAAAGGCGAAGCGGATTTGGTCCTGCCAGGACACAGAGAGCAAATGTGGACCTGCCCCTGACCACTGGGGGTGGTGGTGTCACCAAGGTGGCCACAGATGGGAGCAGGATGGGGATGAAGAGAACAGGATGGGGATGAAGGGAGCAGGATGGGGATGAAGGGAGCAGGATGGGGATGAAGGGAACAGGATGGGGATGAAGGTATCTGCAGAGGGTTGTGTCTCTGGGTAGAGAGATCAACGCAAAACCCCATCCCCACCTCCCACCAACCCCAGGCGCTGAGAACGAGGTGACCCAGGTGAACCGGTGCCTGGACGCCGCCAAAGCCTGCAACGTGGACGAGATGTGCCAGCGGCTGCGGACCGAGTACGTCTCCTTCTGCAT